CGCGGACCCCCCCCCCTTCAAATAATCCTGGATCCGCCCCTGATATGAAGGTAGCACCTGAAGTCACCTGAAGAGCGAAATTTTCCTTTTATTTCAGAGACATATGTATACTATTTGCTCAGTGAAACCATTTTAAGCGTTTCAACTTCATTTGTCAATCGTCAGAATATTTACGCCTCTTCATGTTTGTCTTATACAAATTAAATATTTATATTGATGTTATAGGCCTATATATTATATTTTGCAATTCACCTGATATGGAAACAAATGAATAAATAAGTGACTGATATCATCATTTCTAATTATAAACTTAGACTATTTGCTAGAGACACTCCTTTTTTACAGCAATGTCGGTGCAGGAGAGAGATTCTAATAGCTTACAGGGTCTGAATTTACTCATCGTCTGCCCTGCTGCCGGAGAACTCGCTGATGCCCCGGAGTTTGGCTTCCGCAATTCTTTCAAACGGAACGCCCTTGATGCAGTGCCAACAAGCTAAAGAAACGTGGTACTTTTATTTCTTTTTTCGTTCAATTTTATTGTAAAGCCGATCGAGGTTAGGCGATCTCCTTCTTAGTTCGATATACACTCGCCCCAAAAAGTTCGGAAGCATCGATATCGTTATTTTAAATATTATAGAATAGCCATATCAGCTAAGGTCAATATTTTTGCCAAATATTGATGAATAATGCACAAACTTTTCGTTACTTTTGTATATACACTGAAGATTTTCCCACGACATAACATACTTTTTTTAATTATATTGAAAAACCATGTCATTTTTCCAAACTTTTTTGGTCGAGTGTATATGCAAATTCATCGGGAATTGCCACATTCTTCATGGATGACCCAGCTGGTGGAAAACTCATGCTCCCCAACAGAATTCTTATAGTTCCAAAAACTAAATACTGGTTCCACGTGTATAAGATTATATTATTCAAGATGAATGAAGAACTTATACGAAGTAACTTATATGTGGACCACCTAGAAATTATCATTTTCACCCCGTGTACTCCCACATACACATCGAGAACTGTAGAGTCCGTTCCTAGACTTTATTACAGTTTGAGATTAACAAAAGCACATTTCAATGATTACAACGTCGATAACTGTGGTTAAATTATGACATACTGGATATAGTTTTTCTTTAATACTACACATAAAAAAGAAAGGTCAGAGCGACCTCTATCTAGGACATTTTGTTATGATCAACTAATAATCAAAACAATCTGAGAATCCATCAAATGCATTTTAAAGGTAAAACAGAATTACAGAAAATAATTCAATATTTTTGTCTCCACTATCTTTTATATAATTCTCTTAATAAATATTCTAAAGTGTATCAAATTGAATTTTTGGCTGCAATCCACTAGATAAAAAACTTGGAGAGAAGTACATTGCTTTCACTCTGTCCTTCAAAATGTCTATTTTTCTACATTGAATTAAACTAAATGGTAGTTATCTACAAAAACTTGATGCATTTTGCACGCTCAAATAGACCTGCCGTTTCACGGCTTCTTCAGAGAGCACTTCCTGTTCACGGTATTTTGTTTGCACGACATCAAAGAGCACACAGATTCACAGTGACAGTACACATCACAATATGCCAGTATTCTCCAGAGAAACTTCTGAATGCAAACTGATTTATAAGGACTGACTAAATATCCCTTTCTTTCTTAGTAGGTACCATTCTTTAAACACATCTCAAGCTGCAACATGTTAATAGGTCACTCACTTTGGCTTTAGTGCAGTGAAAAAAAAATTAATGTAAAATTCTTTGTGGTATCCTTTACATGATGGTAAATATGCAGGCATCAAAAGTAAAAAAAAAGGCTCTGGACATGATGATGGGATGATTTTGCAGTCCAGTTTAAATAAATAAACAAATATCTCCCAAAGTCGCTAAAGAGAAAACACCCTCCCTTTGAAGAGAGAGGTGCATTCAAGACATTTTGAAAAAGTTTAAGTCTGTGATTGTCATCAATGTCCCCTGTGTCCTCCCCGGAGAGCTAACACTAGATGTAACACTGATCCACCTTGGACTTTGTAATCTGCTGCAGTCTTGTCATCATTCCTGGAAATAAATAATTAAAATAAAATAAAATAAATAAATTTACCTTTTTAAACTTGAACTTTTGGTTTAATTACTGATCTTACACCAAATGTCAAAGATAATTTGTATTTGTTCAAGAAAAAGTCACAATTTGTCTTACTTTTAAGTCAATTTATCACTAATCTGATACAAAAATATCGTAATCCTTAATCGACAAATGTTTTAAATGATGGAAAAAAAACAAGTGTTATTGAGCTGCTCATTTGAAATGTTCTGAATTTTGATAATTTTTAAGATTTGCAATGATGTAAAAAGTCACTGCTATACAACTTTGTGTGAGTTTGTTGTACATAGTATGCTGATGTTATTTCTTCAACATAAAAAATGTCCTAATGATAAATTCAAAAAGATGGATTCTATGATGTGTGATATGTATTTTCTATCCTGGCAATCCAAAGGCCTAGAAAACTACACCACAGAGAAAAAAAGGGCAAAAAACTTCATGAGTCTAATGACAGGCAGCTTATATTAAAAAATCACATAAAATTGTGCTTCAGTATTGCTCACTGCAATATGGTGTGGCTTCTGGAAACCTTTAGACTTCGTTTTGAGTGCAACAGAATCACCCCTTAGCTGCTCTAAATGTCATTCAGTTAATCTGATTGTATTCAGGCAGAGTCCTTGCGGAGTTGGATCGATCTACATAATATGGTAGATTCATTTTGAGTGCACCCTTTAGTGATTGAGTGGCACAGTAGGGTTTTCTCGCGTTATCATGGTTTTTGAATGTTGTCGTTGTAGTTTGCTAGGCCTGATCCAGACCTTGAAATTTCTACTGATCAATCTTAAACTGTACACACTTACACCTAGAGATGTGCATATACTCACATTTGTTTCCCACTAAAAATAAGCCTCTGTTGTTGTGGTGGAATTCCTTCCTTTTCCTCCACTCTCTCTTTTATTCTCTCCACCTAAAATGAAATTCAATTTCTCAAACTGAAACACACCTAACTAGATTAAGAAAGTATAAATCTGAAAATGAATCATTTCTCAACTGCATGTTCAAATATATAAATTGTTTGTGTCTCTTACGGCTCACCACAACCATATAAACAAGGGTAAACATCAATAGTACACACCTCTGCCTTCACCATTCTGTAATCGACTGTGATTTGAAAGCTTGTTTTTTAGATGAAGATGTATATTTATTGCTATTGAAACTTCATGGAATGGATTTAGATTTTCAACAAAGCAGGTTTTGCAAGGGAACCTGTGTATGGCAGAAGAAATCATTTAGTAAACAAAAAACATTTCATGAAATAAACTGAGAAGTAGGAGCTAGACACCAAACACAGTTCAAGTAAAATGGCAGAAAATTACCTTATCAGTGGGTTCAATGTCTATCTCAATCTGAAAAGATAAAATACTAAGATAAAAAAAATTGTTCAATTTGTTGTAACGCAACTAAAAAAGCAATAGTAGATTTACATGTATACATTATTCTTATCCTTAAAATCATTTAAATCTTAATCTTCTTCATTCAATGGGATTGTTATTAATTTCTGATATGAAAATGGAAAATCTCCTCACCTCTTTTCCTGTAAGTGTCTACCAGTACATGAAAAGAAATGAAATTTAAAAATAAGTATGAATTTTGGAACACGCTTATCATAGAAGCAAATTTTGGCAAAGCTTAATGTTTTACATACAAAAGTAAAACTTTTCTCAAGGTGAAAATGTGGGCGACTTTTTTCCACCTATACCTCAATCAATCAAACAAATCACTGCACCCAAATGTGTTCTCAAGTAAAAAAAAGTTTTTGGAATTTCTTTCAGAATAAATTCATTACGTCTCCATAATAACTTGTCTTTATCTCAGATGTCATTTATTTTCAAAATAAAATTTCAGTTTCTTTATTTAAAGGTAAAATCCCAGATAGACCTGTTAAAATATAAAGGCATACTAACATAGAGAGCATTGTGGTAACTATGTGAGAATCGTTTTTTCCCCTTATACTTAGTTTATCAGCATCATCATGTTGTGAAAGAAATATCTTATTATACTGTTACTGAAGATACTATACCACAAACTGCACATAGGCAAAATGTCAAACAAACGACTGAACATGCCTAAAAATCTGCACAATTCATTTCTAAAAACCTGATCGAAGCCTTAACATTGTGTGACAATGACTCCGTGCTTGACTACATAGCACCGGTGTCTTAAATCATTCAAAATTTGAAGTGAAATAAAACGTCACGCCGTACAACTCTAACCACTTTAAATACACTGTGTATTAATATTACTGTTCTACCTTAAAACATATCTTAACATATATTACCTTCACTTTTATCAACATGATTACGATTTCTTCCTACTCCCAGTCACACTGTTCTCTTCACCGGAAGTAGTAATTGAGAGATGTGAGGTCATTGGTTCAAAACACGTGCAGATTCCTAAGGATTAAGTACGATTTCTTATAAGATAGCCCCAATATAATGAACCAAAAAATTCATAACAATTAAAAAGCTTTATTTATGAGTCCGTTTTATTCATTATATGCATACCGAGTGTCACAATGAGCGAGAACTTACACAGGGGAACAAACGCATTAAAGAACTAAACCAATCAGATTTGATTTGACTTCACCATCTTCAATCCGGTACATTGCACTATGGGTGATCTGACGAGCGGTCTGTTTGAAAAGTTTCACTTCACGTTTCACAAAACGCTTTTTTTCCCAGTGCAATTGTACACTTTTGTTATTTAAATTACCCTTGTTGTGTAGACTGTCGAAACGGCAATGAAAAATGAAGGCTTTCTCAACAAACCCAACGAATGCGTTCGACTATTCACCTGTCGCACCTGCCGCAATTACGCGCCAATTTATTTGTCATGTTGATGACGAATTTCCAAGGTATGCATTCCTCAGCTACGACACACATTGCGCATGCGTTACAAGGACAGGTATTCAAATGTCGGTTGGGTTGGCGTGAACAGGTGAGTATATAATCGTGATATCTTAAGATTTAGAACTAAGACCAAATGCGATTGCTGATTTTAGAGACGTTATATATTTCTGAAGCTTAGTTTAGTTGCTTAACCGAGAAGTTCGGCATTTTGTCAGGTGGGTTTTACTTATCACACCTGTGGTTGTTTATGGTCTTTCCTTGCAAAGATGGCCGCGTAAAGTGTGAGTAATCTGGTTTTAGCTAGGAAGTGGCGTCTAAACTTCTAATTAAGTAGCACTTTCTATAAAATTGAGACGTTTTAATACTATACAGGTACTGCAAAGTGTTTCAGTAGCACACAATGTCTCTTTAGTGCTGATCAGAACATAAGATTGATTGGTTTTAAGGAAGGAGAAGGAGGGCACGAGTGACGAGGGGATAAGTGGGCCTAGCAAACAAAGTTTCAGTTATATTTAGCTAATTACAGCTGTTCTATTTCTTAAATATTCTGTGCTTTACCTATATGTAAACTCTGGTTGCTCACATATTTCATGTTACCTTTCACTAGATTCGGTAAAATTAGGTTGTTTTTATTAGTGACCTGAAGTGAACTTTAACAACACTGATCATGTCGTATTATTTGTACGATAAACTTACCTGGCGTTATAAAGAATGTTTGGTTGGAAAATTTGAAGTTAAAATGCAAATACAAAAAAAAAAAAAAAAAAAAAAAGAATAAAAGCAATAATAATCATGGATTATGATTTTTTTATGCAGACATGATTTCAGAAAGATACATAAAGGTATAAATATAGGGCAAGTTAAATTTGTTAGTTCATAGGCCACCCATTTCTTTTGGGATCACTGTATTAAGACTGTGTATAGATGTGTTAGTCCAAAATTTGTAGTTTTTGAGATTTAATGCTAAATGTTCATGATGTTTTTTAAAACCTACCGGTACTTGATATAATCAAATCATATATAAATGAGGGTAGGGAATACCTTTTGCTTTCCGCGTGATTGGCCTTATTTTTCGAGAGTGATGCGTCATTTGAGCCCAATATTCTGCGTGAAACGTGATTCAGAAATTCTTGGTGATTGATCTGAATATATCTTCATTATTGGTGATTGAGCTGTTTTAATGATTGGTGATTAAGGGGGGGATGTATTCCCTACCTTCGTATGCGTTAAGTATTTTTCAAACCATAATTTTCAAAAGTAAGTGTTGTATCTAATTCCATTGCTGAGCTCTGATTTGCTTTGACTGTAGAAATGGAAACTAATTATTTCGTCAATTTGTCATTGGATTGGTGAAAATTTTGCCAAAATAAAATAATAATGAGAGAACAGTTTCATTAGCTCTGTATGTATCAATTCAAATTAGTTTTTCTTTTTATCAAGAGCTTATAAAATATGTGGGTATTACCTCCAATATTTCTGTGACTATCAGTCAAAAAAAAAAAAATAATAATAATAATAATGCATGCTGAACCTTGCATAACCTTATAAATTATTGAATATATCAATCTGTTTTAAATAACTGAGAAAAAAGTTTTTTGAAAAATACTGTCTTATTAGACAAAAAGATGTTAGACACCCTGGACATAAATGAATGATTTATTTACTTATGACTGTGAAATTTATGCAATATTTTTAAAATGTTTTTTAAACACAGTTTTAAGTAAAACTTATGAATTGTTTAGCTTTGGATCTTTTAGATAAGCTAACTGTTTATAAACAGAAATATCAGTTGATTTGCAGAACTCTAATTCAATTTTACATCAGTTTTGCTCTCATTATTTCTTTTGAATTTCCAGTTGTCATTTCTACACTACGCAAAATGCATGCCATTTATGATCACATTATATAGAAACTGATTGACTGTGTGAATTTTTTTTTTATTTTCTAGCTCCAACATGTGGTATCAGGTGCTAGTGGTGTCTGCAGTGACGTTAACCTGTGTTCACTCTCAGACCCCTGTCCCATCAGGCAATGACCCCAATAATATCGCTAATATATTGAAAAGTGCAATGCTCAGGAGGCCACCGTAAGTATTTAATAATTTAGTACGAGTCACAGAACTTGCAAAGTATTTCTTGTAGCATTTCATTCAAGAATATTGATTTTATTCCTTATAAAATTATGGGCATCGTAATTATATTTCTTCTTAGTATACATTATAAGTTGTCAACTGAACAACATCCCTTTTGTTCATCTGTTTCGTAGGAATAATTCAGCCAATCAAGGATTTGTATACTTCATATTTCTTACACTCTAAGATAGGTTGTGGGAAAACAGTAGATATAATGTGGCTGCATGTTGCCCAGCCATTCACTACCTAGTTCATCACAACGTTATAATTATTTGAATTTTTATAATCCCAACTAGATCATACTTTGTAATGAATTGTTGTGCAGCCAGGAACTTATTTGTCATACTGTAATAATAATTGTGATTTCTTTTCCCCTAACTAGAACATATTTTGTGGTCTCCCCTCGCCAAGTCCGTCCTGGTCAGAATGTCCAGGTCAGTGCCACTGCCCTTAGACTGGACTATGGTGACCTCAACATTCGTGTCTCTATACGACGAGAGCTAGAGGAAGTGGCCTACGCTTCAGAAACTTTTGATAGAGTAGATACAAGAATAATGCAGATGTTGGTAAGATATTTTTTTATTAATTTTGTTATGAAATCATGATTTGAGTCATTGGTCAGGGATGAGATTTTGCAGACTCTCGATGGATTTCCTATTTTATTTTTTGGGAGCCAAAAATATCATTGGCCTAGGCAGCCCCCAGGTCCCATCACCATATTTTCCGACTAAGTGACAGTCTCATTCCTGGTTAATTCAGTGTTTGGCTCTCAAATCTGAGGCTCAGGATTGCAAGTGGCAATTCTTATTGTTTATAATGATAAGAAAAATGAATTTAATTGGACCCCATAGAACAAACTCATTGGACGTGAGTATTTTTTTTCTCATGAGGTGCCTTTAATTTTGCTTTGATTTATAGTCATTATCACGTGTGAAGACTTATTTGTCTTATTTAATTGTACTGTTTAGGTTCCCACAAATGCTGTGCCTGGCAATTACACCATGAGAGTGGAGGGGACAGTGGCTGGGGGAGCAGGGGGATTTCTCTTTGAGAATGAAACTGAAATCCTCTTTGATCCTAAACAGTTGTCTATTTTCATCCAAACCAACAGACCCGTATATTTCCAGACACAGACAGGTGAGGTGGTTAAAATTACAGAAACCAAGCTTTAAAAATTAGCTTTAAATTATTAGTCCGCGTTCAGATGATGTTAATGTGAACAATATTATTATTATGACGATGATGTTTAATTTCTATGTTATTGAACACTCATGCTGACTGTCAACTTTTTTTTTATATATAGAAATTATTTTTTTTCTCTACAGTTCGATTTCGTGTCATTCCTGTTGGAGCAGATTTGAAATCTGCATCTGCAACTGTAGACATTTATGTAGTGGTGAGTTTATTTTACACAGCTTTGAATTGCCATAGAAAAAGAACCATATATGATACAAAGTAGCTGATTGATTTGACAATTTCTTTATAGAAGATGCTAAGTAATTAAATTAATGATAGTGCATATAAAAACATAAGAGAAGGGATGTTTGATCAAAGGAATAGTTTATATAAATAATTATAGCTGTCTGTAAAGACTGTAGAGCAGTGATACTTTATAAATATTATTTTCAGGATTCCACTGGAACAGTTGTACGCAGGTGGTTGTCCCAGCAACCAAGAGCAGGTAAATAACGAGTGGGTTGCTGTGGTAACTGGTGAGGGGGTTACTATGGTAACCATGTGGGGTTACTATGGTAACAGATGAGTGGGTTACTTTTTTAACCAATGAGGGTTATGGTAACTTATGTTGATCAAAATATGGTTATTATGGTTAGTAAAGATTGCGTAATGAAATAGGGAAAGGTAATTCAAATCCCGTATTTTGGGTTTTAAGAAACAGAAAAGTTGTATTGAATTAAAACAACATGCAGAGAATTCTTATGTAAAAATACCAATAATTTGTAATGAAAAATAATTGAACCAAAAGTTTGAATTAGTATCTACTAGCTTATTTTTTTCAGGAATATTGAGTATGGAATTTGAACTCTCCGATCAGCCTCATTTTGGGACATGGACAATACGAGTACATGCATATGTAAGTGTTTATCTAATTTGTCAAATTTTTTGTTTGTGTTTATTGTTGCTGGTTAATTTACTTGTATTTCACTGTAGGCTAAAAGGAGTTACAGGATTATATTTAGTCCAAAATACATTTTTTTAGGTGTTGCTCTGTATCTCTCTCCAAAGTCTTAAGTGTTTGATCAAAATTGGTTATGCTTGTTTTACGTCTTCTGTTTTCAGTAGTATTTTCATTGGCATAAAAAGAGAGGAAACCAATTTCTTTCTCTTAATTTTTATCATGTGTAAACTTAAGCTCATGCTGAAGTTGATTCTTTTGTATGCTATGCTAGTTTTGAATCATTCATTTCTGGTATGATAGAATCACACTGAATATTAAATGGATAACAACTGTGTGTAAGTTATCCATATTTCACAATTAATGCTTTGTAAACAGCTCATAGAAATATAATAACTTCTATTTTACCACCAAAAACAATGGTTAACCCAATTATTTTGGAATTTGTGCTTGCTGTCACATCACGTGACCTCCATATATGGTTACACACTGTGTAATAATCTCTTAAGAGAATATTTCAGAAAACCAAACTTTTTAGAAAAAAAAATAACAGGGACTAACTTTGAATGTGGGAAGGATTTATTAACCATTGGTAAGCATGGGAAAATTGTCCTTTACCCCAGGAAAATCCATTTTTTGGCCAAAATGAACAGCTATTATCCCTTTCAATAAATATTTTGCCTATGTGCAGTTTTGGCCAGATTATTAAGTGAGACGTGCCTTTTATCTTCAGGGACATGACTATGAGAAACAGATAGAGGTGGAAGAAAACTGTAAGTTAACATTTTACTGTTAACTTTTTTTTAACTGTGTGAAAAATGTTATTTTTGATAGCGTGAAATAATTATAGTTTTCATGTGGATTATTTACACTAAAGTAATATGTGTCATTTTTTTGTACACTTTATTTTTCTTTTTATTTTCCATAACTACTGAAACAAGTCTGTGAATTTGTAGATATATGAAGTGTTCTTTTCTTCTGTACATTGTATATATATTTTTTCTCTGTGTTTGTCTAATTTTTTTACATTTTATACAAAGAAGTCATCAGATAGCAATAAGCAATCATAATCATATCATTATATAATGCGATCTTGTTTTCAGTGTGTTAGAACTTTCATTTACAGTTAAATAGGATCTTTTTTTCACTTTATGTTATTTGTAGATCCAATTTGCAAAAAGTCTTTTGTCAGCATAAATAATGCTAGCTTGTGATGTAATTTATAGATTGCAAAGAAATTATTTTGTCAGCATATATAATGCTTGCTTCAGTAAAAACTTCTGAATGTCAATATCTTTTGGCTTGTCGAGGGTTTTTAGGTTCATCATGTTGTAAAAGGTGTTTTGTATATAAAAGGTTTCCATGAAACCTGTTCTGCTTAACAAACTGTTCTTATAAGTTATTCATGTATGAATATATTGACACGAGGTCAGCTTAGATTAACCTCAGTTCTATGTTTATATGGATATTCATGTTTGATTTGCACATTTTTAAGAGATGATACTTAATTATATGCATACAAATGTGAAAACAAGGCTAAACTAGATTGATCATGGGTCAATCCAATACTTAATAACTATTAAGAACAGCCAATATTGTCTTATGTTTAAAGCTGTTGGCCAGGAATACAGTGGTCCGGAGGTTATCTGGAAAGTTTTGGAGACAAAAACAGTCTATAAACTGAGATCTCTCTTATTGATAAGCAATATTTGCAAAAATGTTTCAGGAATTAAAATTGAAATTGGTAAATCACTTTTTTCTAGGCAGTTTTTTGGCCTAAAGTGGCAGGCTACTTCCTATTTTAACCCAAAAACATCTGTATTTTGATTTGGTACATGAAAAAAATATTCAGGATTGTCTGGCACAGACTGAGAGAGACTAGATATTTTAAAAGGATATTTTGAGTCTCAAGGTATTGAAAAGTATTCCTGGTCCACATTATGCATATTGTATTTCATTTTCTGTTTTACACTATTTGTAATTGATTCTTGTATGCCACATGCTATCTCACATTTTCTTAACAATCTTGTTCCTTTGCCATCTTTTTAGACCGTGGTGAGTTCAGAGAGCTGGAGAACTTGAGGACTTGTTGCATGCACTTTTTTTTTTTTTGCCTTTTCAATTTTTCCTGTTGTTGTTTTGTGTGGGATTATTTGCATGCCTTAACTGTTACTACCTTAGTTACCACCATACTTAACAAATATACCACTCATTCCAACTGCCTTTTCGTATGGAAAAAAAATCAAATACATGCTTTGTCAGCAACCCCCTCCCTTCCCTCCCCAAAAAGATAAAAAGGTTCAGATAATTAGAAAAATTTATGTCTTTAAATGTGATAGAATGCCAAAGACTGGTACACCTGTTTTTGTTTACTAATCTCTTATTTAAATAAATAAATATTCAAGTTACTTTTTATAATGTCCTTCAAGTCGACTCCAATAACAGGTCTGTTAAAATATCTTAGGTGTTAAATGAGATTATATCAAAAATTTCAAATTTAATATGTTTTTCTGTTCAACAAATGGTGTGAAAATAGCTTTAAACTGATCCTCATCCCTCTCCCCCATGTACTGTCAAGTTTTAAAAGTTTGCAGATTGGCCTCTGGCTTTGCTTGATTGAATACAATACCAGCCTTAAATGGTTTGTCTAAATATTGTTAAGTTACTAATAAAATCTTAAGGACATCCATTGCAAGGATTTTTTTTCATTTTGTATTTGTCAAAAGTTATGCATCATATTCAATTTTATCATAATGATCCCACTGATATTATTAAGTAAAAGTTTTTATGTTTAAATGAGCTTTGATGCTTTTTTATTGAAATTTTAAAGACTGGCTCTTCCCCAATGTTGTCAAGCTTGTTTTTCAATGAGTGGCTTAAAAGATATTTGTTAGTTTTATAGTTTTTGGAGAATATAGCTCATAATGATATTATGAATTTGCAGAAGTTTTGCGTTAAAGTGAGATGACCTGCTTTTTCAATTGATATTTTGAACACTTGTTTTATTTGTCCCATATTGTCCAGCTTGTTTTTCATGAAGTGGCTTTTTTTCTCAGCTTATTTGTCAACGTTGATAGATTTGTCACATGTTTGAAATTGGGTCACAGAATTGAGTAAAATGAAGTTGTTATTGACCAAGTTTTAAAAGGCCATTGTTATAGAAAAGATAAAAGCATTGCTAGTTGTTTATAATTAAATTAGCAAAAATATATATATATTTAAAATATAATTCATTGAAAAGAAATTGGAAAATGTCTACATGGTGTGCAGATGGCATCACTAAATCTGAATATTCAAATTTGTTTAAAATTACATTTCCTTAAATGGCCATATTTGATGGATAATCAATATATTATTGTCCAAAACTTCTCTGTAACAGTTGCGCTTAAAGGTTAATGAAACTATGGAAAAGAAGAACACACTGGTAGATAGAGACATAGAATATTGAACCGCTTTTAGTCCACGTAGATTGGGCAACTAAGTACTAGTACTACTTTAGCTGGCCAGTGCACAACTAACGTCACGGTTGTCATATTTTCTTTTCTTGCTCCAAAGTGCCTTTAAATCCACTGTCCATTTGCATGAAGTAGATGGTATTATAAAGAGTTAAAATGATAATGTAAACTCAGTAGAATTTTCTTATGTAGGTCAATTCTAAATGCATGGCTTTAAAGCCCTTTTCAATGTTTATGTGAGAGCTACCCGAATAGCTGCCTTTGAGATAAAATTATAAAGTCAATGAAGATGAAGGAGGGAAAAAAGAAAAAGAGATAAGTCAAAGCTTACTATCACTGAGAATAGTAAACATAAAATACAACTGAACTTTGAGATTAATCCAAAATATTGCAGTAGATCATTTAAACAAGTTTTTTTTTTTTTTTTTTTTTTTTTTTTTTTGGCTTATTTGAAGATTCCAAGTGGTCTTTCATACGGGATACAGTCCATAGTACATGGATTAGAAATAGTTTAGACTCATAGTATGAGGACTTGGAGCTATTCTTTAAATAATTTGACATTTTAAAGTAATTTTCTTTGGTTTTATTAGGATTGGCTTAGGGTGTCATCATTTGTTTCTTTTAAAAAAAATTGACGTTGAATGATGTGTTGTCAATATGCTCCTCTAAATCAATTCCCTAATATTGGCTCCTAATATTTAGTTTTTTTAATAACTACAGTATTTTAATTTCTCTCAAAGATGACAAAATTTTTTAATAAAATAAAAAACTAAAAGAAAATTCAGGATTGGTATGTTTTAAGACATTTTATGAGAGGTGTTAGATGTGTTTATTTAGACCTTTAGAAATGTTGCCACTTTTTAATTTATTTTGTTGGTTTTTTAATACAAATTTTGTCTGAAGTGTTGCATTTTTCTGAAACGTTTTGCTTTAAGTAATATTGACTTCACATCATGCATATTGAACCTTTTTGTTAAAATTGATTAACTAAACAATAATTTGACTAACCTGAAAGTTCAAACTAATACGAAATTCGAAATTAAAAATTGACACAACTTGCTACTCAAAGTTACATTAAGAAGTTAAAGAAAGTTTTTATTGTCAAATTTGCATGCATTTTATTTAGAAAATAAGCTGTCATGAGCTTATGCTTCAGCTTTCAAAGCTTATTTTAGTGTATATAAACAAATGGGCTTTTTTCTGTTCTTAACTTTTGCACATGAAATGTTTAGCTTAAACTCTGTCAGTCATTTTCTGATTATTATTATTATTGTTATTTATAAATATCATTTTGAATTAGTGTTTGACGTCTTTTGTTGTTTGTTTTCATGTGCACACTTCTTTTGTTTACTGTGTCAAAATTGTTCTGTTTTTTCTTTGTAAGTGTACTGGGATGGATGAGTGTACGATGAACAGAGAAATATAATATTTCTTTTTTTTATGAAACCAAATGACCTACATCCTTGATTGCACACACACACCCACACACACAGACACACAGACAGACACACACACACACACACACACAATGACATTTAGGTATGGTTTTGTTCAGAGTGCTCTCATCTTGCCCTCAGTTTCTCCCTGTTGGGAGCAAATGGCACTAACCTAACTGTTCCATCCTAACCCTTGCTAACAATTGCAATTTCCATTTTCTTTTTTCTTAGTGGACTCTAGGGTATATGTCGATGTGATGATGCCGCCATACATCTTTGAGAACAGTTTTGGACTAGCTGGAATTGTGTCTGCAAAGTACGTAAGCAACACATTGTGGTTGGGTAGATGTTAGATTTGTATCCCCGGCCTATGCTTCAGTTTTATGATGGTAGGGGGCGTTAGCTACTGTATGACTTTCTACACACCAGGTGGCAGCAGGAGCCATCTGGAATGTTAGGAAGTGATCATATTTAGTTTGGTATCGTGCCAAAGAAACTCTTTTTCAGTGAAGTATCCAGACAAACGAGTTGGACTATGTTATTCATGCAAGATACCAAACTATGAGCCTGCAAGGAGATTAAGTCTCTGGCAGTTGAATTTTCTCAACCATTTTCCTGCTGCATCAAAACATACACATATAAAAAGGCTGTTGCAATGTCTTCTCTGTTGTTTTTTAAATTCCCATTATCCTATTGGAGCTGTTGGGGTTTTGTTGTCTCAGTTGTCTAAGCATCCACCAAGTAAGTTCACATACATTTTATTTCACAACATATGGCTTATTCAGTGTGGTAGCGGAGATAAAGAATGCAGTGGTTGAGACACCACAACTGCCATAGCCTGATTTCCAACAGGACAAATCATGCCAGAGGAAGACTGGTTTCCTTGACATGTTGGTTTATTTTGATTTTGCAACCATTTCTCATTTTTTTCCTTTCTTTTTTTCAAAACTGTTTTATTTTAGATGACAGCGCTGCTTATCCAGATATATTTATGCCCTCTTACATATTTGAGAACTCCTTTGGCCTTGCTGGAGTTGTTGTGGCTAAGTATGCATAATAAGGACAGTATAATGGGCAGCACCTTGGCATTAATTACACTGAAGGTGTATCCAGAGTTACTTTTTTAAAAGTTTCTGAAAAATTAAAAATTGATTACATAGACACTGGGCATTTTCTTCAAAAGACTGAAGTCTTTTGAGGAAAATGAAAAGTCATTCTCTTTTAACAGAAAATTGGAAAATTCTTCAGATATCCTTTCTAAAATCTGGATACACCAAATTTTAAAACACTAAAAATATTTATTTTATTTGAATTTATCCTTTCAAAGAGCTCATTATACACATTGGTTATGTCACTGGTACAGCATGTAGCACAAGAAAGATATATTTTGTATTGGTTATTAACAGAATTTATGTATTTATATATTCTTTTTGATAAACATTAAAGGGAAAAATAATTCAAATATTATCGATTTTTTACAACATTATCTTAATTTTGATTCTTGGCACATGATGCATTTTTCTCACACTAGCAGGCAGATTTCAGCCAATTGACGGGATAGATTCGATGATACAAATTATTTTAGAATGATGAATTTTCAGTTTCAAAAATGTAGTTAATTTGACTGTGCTGAAAAAATTGGGAATTTGTCTCAAACAAGAAATGCTAATGTGAGCCAACACATTAACTTGTGTGAACCTTTTTAATGGCGTCTGTATATAATGTGTGTTATTATATTATATTATATTATATTATATTATATTATATTATATTATATTATATTAGAGAACGTTCTACTATATCTGGATTGTTTTTATTAAAAAGTGAATTTTGGCCTTGTACTTTGATATGTCATTGTTAAATCAGCTTATTCAAATACTATTAAGTGATAGAATTTTAAGAAGAACCACTATTGCTAGCAGGACATGCAATGCATAGTGCCTGTGTATGTTAATATCTTTTTTTTATATTATGGTCATTAGTCCATAGCATTTAGTAATGAAAACACCATTTATATAGAAAGTTCTCAGTTCTGATATATTATCATTTAAAAAGTGTGTAAAATGATAATCTGATAATGGGCTTTAAGTTGTGAGCAGCATGCTTTTTTTGTCTTTCGCAATTTCATATACGTTATTTGCTATGCACTTTTTCCATATTTAACTGTTATGAAAATTATAATACCTCTGAAACTTTTTTTCATGCATTTGCTCTAATCCTGCTGAATTTATCAGATTTTATATTTTGGTTTTCATTAAGTTAAGTTATTGGTAAAACTTTTTGCAGTTTCAAAGTTTTGTTTTGTAAGTCAAACCACACAGATTATTTCAGCTATTTCTTTCCATATCCCTGGCATTCATGCTTTTACTAAGTTTACTTTTTATTTTTTAAGTTCACTATTTTTTATGAAATGAATTTCCTACACCTTGTTTTAAGCCATTATTCATTTATCATATGCATTTGTTTTATATGTATTTGGAAGATGAGTACTATTTTATCCTCTCATAAGATAACAGTCCATAGGCTCTTGAGAAAAAATGATATGTATATTTTTAATGTTATATGCATCCCCTATTAACATGTTTGCATTCTCTTTGTGTAGTCATTCCAGTGGAGTGGCCGTGAAGGGCCATGGGGTGATCAGATTACAGGTCAGAAACCCGTACAGAGAGGATGATTTCAGCAACATCCCCACTATTGAGAGGACCATGAAATATGTAAGTAGTGGGAAGTTTTCACTAGATGGCAGTGTTTAGTTCATTCAAATCCCAATAGAGGGCAATGGGAGTTGTTGGTATTTTTTTGATTAAAAATTATAGTTGTTTACTTCTTCTCACATTTCAGTCACATAAACTACAATAATTACTAAACTCCAACTTTGACACATTACAGAATTATCAGTTGTTTTCCAGATTACCATGACAACCTGTTTTGCCTTGTAATGCATTCTGTTGTCACAGTTATTATATTTCTAGAAAACCGCTGTGAGAACCAACAGACTCATCTGTCACAATTGCGACATCCATACCTTCCTTTCACCTGTTCCTATCATCACACCCATACCTTCTGTCTCACCTACCACAATTGTCACACCCATACCTTCTGTCTCACCTACCACAATTGTTACATCCACATAACTTTTGTCTCACCTTATACATTTGTCTTCTTTCAGTTTGATGGGTCTTCGAGTTTCCTCTTCACCATGTATGAAATCGAGCAGATCACAGCAGCCACATCAGCAACAGGTGGCCTCACTGATAAAGAACTGGTTGTTGAAGCCATCATAACAGACTGGTTCTACGAAGAGAACTACACCCTCTCGGCCACTGCCACCGTGGTGGAGGACACAGTCAGACTACAGTGGATTGGGGACAGGACGAGAACCTTTAAACCTGAGATGAATTTCACTGTACATGTAAGTTAATCATCTCTACACTGTGTTGAGTTGGTTATATTTGCTTGAAAAGACAGATGTGTTGCACATGTTTTGAGATGTTTAGATTGATGTTGATATGAGCGTGATTTTAAAATATTGAAGAAGTATAATTTCAGTGTGTTTTCTTGGAGCCTTTGTGTTTTTAGAGAAATTTTTTGTTGCTGTTGTCTACAAACTGATGGCATCAATTTAAAAAAAATTAAAAATTAAAAATAATTACATGATTTGTTGTTAAACAGGTTGCAGCCATGAAGTATGACGGTACACCTATCACGACACCAGGTCGAAGAAATGTCACATTTGAGATGAAGACCCAGGCCATGGGGGCCTACTCCCTCCCTGATCGTAAAGAAACACTTCAAGTGCCAGATAATGGCATTGTAAGCTTTGAGATACACCCCCATGTGGATGCGGAACTGATTACATTATTTGTAAGTATTTCCTGAAACTTTCTATAACCATTAACTGTGTCTCATTGTCCCCAGCTCTGGCAAAGTGGACGTTAAATCTATATTATATGAAGATACCATCAAAATCTGCAAAATGGAAAATAAAGAATAGTTTTGCATTTGGAAAATCACTAGTGCATCAAGGAAATTAAGAAAAAGGCCTAAATCTCCACACCCCTTTTAAAAGAACTTGAAGAGAAAGTATTTAGAAATTTTGAAGTACTCTGGTGCCTGTATTTTCAAGGTATGGGGGCTTGATTTGCCATTTTTAGTTGAAAATGAGTATGAGGGGCCAACTCTGCCTTTCTGTTCTTTATGCGTCTTAATGAGAGTAAAATGAATATTGAATTTCAGGCCGAGTATGAGGATGATGACCGCACTAGGATAGAACTGAATGCCTTCAGAACATACTCCCCCATGTGGAAATATCTCAAGATTGTTGCTCAAACTGTCGATCCCAAGGTAACAAAATGAAGAGTATATTGCAGGACTAAATATTTTTGTTTTATCATTTTCTTTCTTAGCTACAGAATGTGAAAAATTCAAGAAAATTGTTTTATATATGAACTTTCTTGTTTTTTTTTCTGGTTTAATTAAGGTTCAGGAAAAAAATACGTACCATTTCTTAAATTACTTTACCTGTGGACAATAAAAAAAACATTGTTAATCTTGCTGCTTGAAGATTACCTAAGTTGTTTTATGAAGTAAGTTTTTTGTCCTCAGGTCAACGAGTACATGATCTTCAAGGTGTCCACCAATGCCTGGGTTGACAAGATTTACTATCAGGTGTGTAGATCAGATTCAGATTGGATAAATATTTATCCAATCAATAGCTTAAACTGTTTTGTTTTTAGTTCTGTAAATTTGATCTGCAGATTTATTTTGTTACAATAAAAGATCCACACTAGTTAAACAGAAGTCACACTGGAGTGACCACAGTAATTTTTAAAAATTAGATTACAAATATAATCACTCTGACAGTAATTATGATGCAGCCATGTCCTTTATCGTGGTTTTTGTATTGTTGAGATCTTTCCTGTTAAGAAACTGGCATAAAGTGAACAAATAATTCACGAAAGACTGACAGCTGACTTTCAGAAAAACTCTTTACTGCTTATTGATATTAATAATTGCATTTTTTTTCATCAGATTGTTGCTCAAGGCAATATCATTGTAGCTGATGAACTGCCCATGATGGCACGACAGAAGACATTCTCCGTGGCCCTGTCACAGAACATGGCTCCCAACGCCCGTATTGTGGCCTACTATATCAGGACAGACGGAGAGGTGGTGGCTGACAGCTTGAACTTCCACGTCAATGGATCTTGGCAGGATAATGTGAGTTTTTTCTTTTTTATAATAAAGATAAGGATGTTAATCTGTTATTTAATGTGAGTGGGAAGGTTTTTGCCTTTTTAAAAATTTATTTATTTATTTTTTTTTTGTAAGAAATTTGGTGTTTTACTTTCATGATTTCAAACAAAAGATAATTTGTCATCATTGATGGCGGTTATATTGAGGATCCGCTTTTACAGATTTGATATTTTATTATCTGTGGTAGTTTGTGCCTCATGATAAATATAAAAAATTTTGCAAAAGTCAAAAAAGGAACAATTAAAATACCAATAACACCAATAACACTTAAAAATATAATATATGACTCATGTGAAGTCTAAATTATATTAACTAGCAAATGACATATATGTATCACAGTCTATTCAAAAGAGCATTATTTATAGATAAAGCTTCCCTCTCCAAAGGCACCCTAATCAGACAAACTATTTTTATCTGTAGGTAAAACTAAGATTCTACCAAGGCAAGGATTTCAGTCTGGACAAGGTAGAGGTACAAGCCACAGGGGAGGCTGGTTCCATTATGGCCTTCTCTGCAGTACCATATAGAATTGACCGTCTGGGAGGAGGAAATGACATCAATGAGGACCTGGTCAGTGTCTGTCTGTCTGTCTTTCCTTCTGGTTTATCGTGTATTAAACATGCACATACTGTATGTATTTATAATATTATCAATTAAAGATATCTAGTTCATGAAAAAATTTTTGAAAATGATATTTGTTCATGCTTTAATTTTTGATAGGTTTTGACATAAAAATGTTTATTTCAGGTTACTTGAATTTGAATGTGTAAAAACACTAAAAAATATGAAAGTAGAGAAGTTATTTGTAAACATTGACTATAACAATATTTTTCTGTTTCTCAGATGTTGAATGAAATGTACAGCTACGACACCTTTGCTAACAGCAGTTTCAAGCAAACCTGGAATATCGGCAGCTTTAGGACACGCTCCAACTACTTTGCCTCCCCAACCTACGCTGTGGACGCCAACACAACATTTACTGTGAGTGTGCTGCCATCTGTTGAATAAATTGTCATCCTCCAAAATTTGCCAAACTGAAGGACACTTTTACCACACTGGCTGTACATTCAAAAACATGTCTCTTAAAATTGTTGCCAGTCCCCTGGAAAACTGAATGCTAATTTTTACCATCCGTGAAAATTTTTTTGGTCATAACTGGTAGGACCAACAATGTCAGCATGTCTGTGAGATGCTCTCATGCATTGTTATTGCAATCTTCAGCAAGAGTCTGAAATAGGTCTACTTCAGTCAGTTATTACCTTGTATAGTCCAGGCATAGATGTTGAAGCTAATTAATTGATGGAGAAAAAGACAAATTGATGAACATGATAACTGATAATGTTTTATTGAATTGTCAAGTTATTCTTGCTTTGAATAGGACCAGAATTCATTCAGTTTTTGATCTTTATATTTTTACTTCAATTTTCACCCTAGATATATCTGTGTGCGTTATTTATTTATTAATTTATTTATATTTGTTTTTTGTTCCAGTTTGCTGGTCTGGTTGTCTTCACAGATGCTAACGTGACAACTGTGCCAAGTGAGTAAAATGTAGTCATAGTGTATTTCTTCACTGTGACTAATAAAAAAGTTCATAAAACAACATTCTACTGGGCTCTAATATATGTTCACCAGTAGGGCAGTTATATGAAAAAGAGGGATGTGTGTGTGTGGGGGGGTATATTTGACTACCTTGCCCCTTCCCCGCTATAAAAACAAATTCTTTAGGGCTATTATTATTATTATTATTATTATTATTATTATTATTATTATTATGAAAATAACATGTCATTTAAATGCCATCTGTATAATGTGCATATTATTTGCATACCGTCATACACATTTAAAAAGTTTTAAAAACTTGACAATGTATCTCCCATTATTTTCAGACCAGTGTAATGTCACCCAGGGCACCTTGCCCTGCTTTGACGGCACCTGCTACACCATAGATCAGAGGTGCAACAAGGTCAAGGACTGCAGGGCTAACGAGGATGAAATGAATTGTGAGTAACACTGTTTTTAAATGATACAAAGGACAAACTTTCATGGAAACATTTCAGAAAGGGGCTTATTCAAATGAAGCGATATTTGCCCTCTTTTTAGGAATTGCTGACAGAATTTTTAAACAAGTCAACCTTTTAAGAAAATATTTTTTACGTCATTAAATTAATTTCTTCAGGTGAGTACGACTGGGAACAGCCTGGCCAACCTCTCAGGTATAACACCTCAGCTCTGGACAAGATTGGCCGCAATGACCGCTACTATGAAGACGACTCCTGGCTTTGGTTAGAGTACTTTACCAAGTAAGTCTTCACTGAAAGAATTGCTGTGGCAGCTTTTATATCCATGGAGTAAATCCATTTTGACCACAGGGTCTGCGCGATTTGGAATTCAGAATCTACATCCACATCGTAAAAATTGCGAAAATATTAGAAACAGTTATAGATTTCATTCATTATCATGAAATTTACATATGCCTAAGCTTGTGCGTTATTCTCTATATATCTTTGGGATATATAATTATTTGAACTTCTAACTTCCCAATGCAAATTAAGAAAATCTGCCGTCTTTTAACTCCTCTGCCATCTTAAACTCATTTCAAGTTTGGTGTCAATGTAGAAGTATAATTTTACAAATTGTTAAAACCAAATTTTTCAAAGTACCAGTTCTATTTTTTGTAAGTCCTCAAGTAGGGTATCAGTTATGTAACACTTATATAAAACAAAAATACATTTGATGACTCAGGAGCTGATATTTGTTCTCTTCCAGACCAGATGGTAAAGTCCAGTTGAAGGTGGAGCCCCCAGACCAGCCTGTGAAGTGGATTGTCAGTGCCTTCTCCATCACTAAGGAGGGCTACCTGGGAATCATGCCTGTCCCTATAGAGGTAGGGGAAGCAGGAACGGGTGATTCTTAAGATGAAGTGAAAGTTAATCAATTGAAGAAAACATTTGAAGATATGCTTTATTAAGGAAAGAAAATGCAAAGACTGATAGTTCTGTTTTTTGCGTGTCTTTCATATTTGTACATTTTTCTTACTAAAAGATCATATCATTTGATGGCCATGTGTCAATAACTTTTTTTAAAAATAATTAATTAATTAATTATATTGCAGTATGTGGCAACTCGTCATTTCTACATCACTGTGGAAACGCCTCCATACAAGTTGGTCCGAGGAGAACAAGTTGGTATCCGTGTGGCCGTGTTCAACTACTACACAGACTATTTGGAGGTAAGAAGTCATGGAAAGTCTACAGCTATTCTGATGGAAATTCATTTGTGTAGTCTGTTGATAACTTTTAAGATTTAACTTTTTTTTCTGCACTACATCAAAGCTATACTTTGCAAAGAAACAGTCTCATAGTAACACACACTGAGGAAGGTCACTTAATGACTGAAAGCTTTGTTACGTATAGCTTTATTTTAGTGCAGAAAATGAAAAATTTATTCTTTAAGTTAAGATCTACAGCTGTGACACATAAATATCTATCACCTGGGGTTTGTCTTACAACATAACTTAAGACTGATAGCTGGTAACTCTGAGACAAAATGTCAGATTAGTTTGACGGCTTATCATAACACATCAGTCAGTACAGTTTTATTATTATTATTTCCAAATATGTTTTTTTAAGATTAAAGGATTTTTTCTCACTCTTGGAGTCCCCTGTTATAAATGATTTCATTATAATTATAATGAACATTTAATTGCATTCCTAGGTGTTGTAGAATCTTGATTTTATCTGGCTTATTTTTTCTGTAATTTTCATTGTGTTTCTAGGTATAGCTGACCCTGTACTTGGTATTATTATGATGATCATTATTATCATGAATGGTTCATTGTCTCTTTAGGTATTGGTGACACTTAAGGGATCTGATGACATTAGGTTTGTCAATGTAGAGAAGATGGGCCGTGTATCGTCCTACAATCCCAGGCTGTCCTCAGGAGATGTTCAGGCTTTTGTATATGTAAGAAATTAATATTTGGTGTTGATGAATTTGAATTTTATCCTTTTTGATTTGCACAAAAATAAAGTGAGAGCTTCCTTGTGAGCTTTTCTATTCTTATTTGTTACTTTGTCAGCATGACTTTCAGAGGCAAAGTTAATTGATCGCTGTTTTACATTCTAAATTGTTTGTAATTAATATATAAATTATGTGTTAATATTTGTGTTTGAGATGAAGAAAGTTGAAAAAAATCTGAAATTAATCAGTAAAAACATTTCCAGTGCAGAGGGATTTTAGCAAGTCCATGGGAAGGGAGAGAAATTTTCAAATATTTTGACAAGTGTCCAGTGAGTGTGGTTGTATATACATTTATCTGTTATCTATTTCCAGTTGTACCCAGGCCAGAATGAGTATATCTTCTTCCCTGTTCTACCTCTCAACATGGGGCAGACGGATGTTACGTTCACAGCGGAGTGTGTCCTAGGACGTGACACGGAGACGGTCACACTGGACGTAGAGGTATTAACTTCTATATAGACATGATATACATGGCATCTTTGCTGAAAAAAGATATTTTGAAATGTTAACATCCATCTGCTTTACCAATGTCACTTATATAATACATAGTTAAAGTATATTAGAAACATTGTCTTTAACATAATACATGGTTAAAGTATATTAGAAACATTGTTTTTTTTTATATTATACATAGTTAAAATAAACCACCATAAAGGAGAAAAGATACAAAATGATGTATAAATTATGTTCATGGTATAGTTAATTTGTAACGTTTCATCAAATTGTTTTACAATTTTTTAAAAAAATTTTTGAAATCTTCTGGTACTGCTACTAAATAATACACCTAATGAAAATTTACATTGTTACCAATAATAACAATTGTTTTCCAATTCTTCAGATGGATGGTGTGACCAAGTACTGGCATGCCCCGTACTTTGTAGATCTGTCCAACCAGGCTGCTGTCAGTGTGCCTGATTTCCAGATCCCCGTGCCGCAGGTGTTCTCTCCTCCAGAGGTCCGCTACCATCTTTACGTACCAGGCTCTGCCAAGGCCACGCTCAGTGTTATAGGTAAGGTCAAGGTCATTTGTGGTCAGTTTCCTTTGGGGTCATATCTTGGTCAAGGTCATTTAGGTTCATTGTAACTTGGTCAAGGTCATTTGGTGTCAGTGTTGGAAGATTAACACTTAATGAAACTTTGTTCTTTGAAAGAAAAATAAAGTGGAAGTATTTTGAGGATGATTAGGCTTGGGTATGATGTTTCAAAATGGGTATACCAAAATCCTTTTTATATTATTTTTTGTAATCATATATCCATATTTTTTCCTTCAAACAGGTGATATTGTTGGTCCAGCCTTCTTTCAGAAAGGCCTGGACAGCATGAACCTCCTCAGACTTCCCTATGGAGCCTCAGAGATGAACACGTTTAACTTTGCCTACAACCTGTACACCCTGAAGTTCCTGAAGATCACGAGTCAGCTCAAGGATGATGTCATGTTAGATGCACTGGCCTACATGAACTTGGGTAAGGAGTGGGAAACTTTTTTTTTTTTTAATTTTCAGAGACTCGGATATGATTTAGCTAGCAGCTGGTAGCTGCAGAAAACTTAAATGTATATTATGATGTAGATCACAACAGAATGAAACTAACATTTTTGATAAGATCTAATGAACTTTTTGTCTAGAATGTTCTTTTTTTGTTGGTGGATAACTCATTGATGTGTTTTCTTTCATTTCAGCTCTCCAGCGCCAGATGAGCTACTATGACACAGATAACGGCACATTCTGGATGTTCAGGGACCAGCAGGAAAGGCTGGGTGGATACTATGAGCCCAGCTTGTGGTGAGTGAAACACATCAGTTTGTCTGCTTTAGGAATGGTGCCATTCTATTACTGAATCTAGAAAAAAACACTAATTATTTTCAGGGATGGGGGCTGAAAAATGCAGAAAGAGGAAAAACCATCCATCCTTTCCTGAATTTTCTCGTCAAAATAATATCTCACAGAAAACAGCACCTTTCTAAGCTTTCTATCACATATATAAAGGTAATCTCCTAACATTAAAGGTGGAAGAACCCTAGACATCTCAGTTTATATTCTGTCTATCATTAATGTGATGCAGTCATTTTGGAAAGGAATTTTTGGTGGATACGAATTCGGAATAAGATTTGGACAGAAACATTTCACAACAGTAAGGTTTTAAAATGAGATGAGCTAAAAAATTTGAGTAATCGCAGTATAATAAAAAAATTTTAAAAGGTAATTCCTAGCCATATTTGCACTGCATGTGACAAACTTTTCTCTAACATTCTTCTAATCATCTTTTGAAATGTAGTAATGAGTTGTATATCTTGTGTTATGCATGGGTGAAAGTTTTTAAGGTGGATTATGCCTGATTTCAGGGTTTTTAGTCTTCATTTTTATCTTTTGCCCATATGGTCTAAATGCAATGAGAAATTTCGAGCTACTTTTCTAGGATTTTCAATTTTTCCAACTTTCACGCATGGTTATGTACTCAAAGTTAAAATAACATCTCTTGGCTTAACATTTTCTCATCTCTCTCTCTCTCTCTTTCTCTCAACAGGGCCACAGCATTTGCCCTGCAGACCTTAGGAGCCGCCAATGACGCTGAGTGGGAGAACTTCCTGTACATCCCGTCTGAACTCCTCAGTAAGATCGCCCTGTGGGTGTGCGAGCAGCAGAATAAGACCACCGGCGCCTTCAACCAGACCAGCAAGTTTGTCTATGATTGGACCATGAAGGTTAGAATTAAGTGATTGATATTTGAGGCATTTTATTGTAACAATTATCTTATTAATTGTGATAGTCATTATTTTAAAATTTTCTTAAAATGTTAAGGCAAATTGAGTTTTTTTATGGGATGTGCCATAGAAGATTATTATTATTATTATTATTATTATTATTATTGGGGATTGTCAATTATAAGTCATCTCAGATTTCACTAGAGCACTGCAGACTGACTTTTATTATTTCAAGTATTATAATCTTTTTTACCAAAGTTTTCAGACTTCAGTTTAGAGTAAAGGTGCACTGAATTGGAGTACCTAATGCTCTGTGGCAGTTACAATTTCATTCAGGCTACATAACTAGGTACAATATTTCATTTAGATGCATTAAATTCAGTTTATTGATTTATTTCAAGGGTCTTATGTTTGGTTGTCTTTCAGAGTAATATTACAGAGGGACGATCCTGGGACAACATTCCAACATTTTACCGCCAGAATATTTCATTGACAGCTTATGTTCTGGTAGCACTCACAGACCTGGCTTCCTTAGATGGGGTAAGTATGACTTTGATAAAAAAAAGAAAAGAAAATTCTAAAAAGTCTTAACTTTTACACCTATAATTAAGTCTACTTTAGTTCTTGGATGGGGTAGGTATGACAAAAAAATTCCATTTGCAGTGTCAAATTTGTCTGTGTCTTGAACAAAATTGAATTTATTCTGTCTAATTTGTATTATATTGAAATTTGGACTTTAATTTTTGCTTTAATAGTAGCTAAAGCTAATGCCAAGATGTAGACAACCCAATCATATCATGTTATCAGACACTTCCATTGATTGGTTTAAATTAACTATCAAGCATTTATGAAGACAGTACCAATGACATACTTGTTGTTTTTGTATATAACAGGAGGCTATGAACCAGGTGAGAGCTAGCATTACGCTGGCCAGAACCTACCTTGAGAGCAAGATCCAGGAACTGAACGATACGTTCCAGATAGCCCTTGTGACCTACGCCCTCACCAAGGCAAACAGTGTGAAGAAGAACGATGCATATGGCCGACTAAGGGACCTGAAGATTGAAGGTAAGAACTGCTGGAACAGTGGATGGTTTGTTACAAGTTATTTGCTTATGTGGGTTATTTTAAAATAATGCACTGCGCAGAGTTCAGGGCAGTGTCATAGGAAATAAAAAAAAAATAATTGGAAGCTTTATTTCTTGTTGATGTTGAATAAAAATAATAATACTATCTGCAAGTATGTAAAATGTCTACAGTATTCTTTTACCAAAAATAAATTTGATTGATTTAATGAAGTTTTTAAATTACCTGTTGTATTTTCTTGTGTATTTTTCATTTTTGATTGATTTAATTCATGTCAATAATTTAATCACCCCCCCCCCCCCAAAAAAAAAAAAGAAAAAAGAAAAAAAAAAGAATTGCTGACAGATTTTTAACTTACAAATGCCACACACCCCTTTCAGATGATTTCATATACTGGGCAGACCGTAAGATAGAACGGAACCCAACAGGAATAACCAATGCCATTCCAACACAGAAATGGCGAGAGTGGCGGGAAGGAGAGGCATATGCTGTGGCAACTACATCCTACGCCCTCCTTGTGTATCTGCTTAATAACGACTTGACCCAAACTAAGGCCATCATGACATGGTTGCAGACAATGAGAAATCACAATGGTGGTTTTGCCTCAACACAGGTAATGGAGGGCAGCTACTCAAACCCCAGTTTCATAAACAAAAAAAAAAAAAAAAATTAAGACAGGTTCCCTGGCTAACATTTTTGTTGCCAACATTGCATGGACACATGCACACATCTTGCCTATTAGGAACAGTGTAAATAGGATTCTCATAGACATTTTAGCCAACTAAGCCAGGGAAATGACTTTTTTTTTTTTTTTTTTAGTGAAACTGGGGCCAGGGCATTCAGTAGGTTGCATCAAGCATTTGTGAATAATTAGTTCTGGAAATAGATAAAAACAAATGATTCGCTGCAGTGAGGAGTTCTTCAAACATATGAAAATATTTCTTTTAAAAAAAAAATATTTTCATGTTAAAAGAACTGCTCAATGTGTGACACATATGCCAAGCAAATAATGCTATACTAGGACAAGTTCTTTAGGCTGACCAACATCCAGGTACTTACTGTCTCGTTGCTGTATTTTCAGGACTCCATCATAGCCCTCCAAGCCCTGACAGAGTACTCTAGAAGCGACTACAATCGCGACCTGTACAAGATGAGGATCAGCGTGGAGGCGCCAGCCAGCCCCGGGTGGTCGCACACTTTTACGCTGAACCAGTCCAACTGGATGGTGCTCCAGACTGTAGAGGTAGAATTAACACAGACGTTTGGTTCATGAAACGATAAAATTAAGAATCGGTATTTGCAGTAACTTGCTTTGGAACCTAGCTGACTGAGTTGCATTTTGCAAAGAATGTGAAAGGCTGCTTCCGAATATTTTTTCTTCTTCTGGAGGATATTGTGATCCTCTTGACAATATTTTTTATCCTAGTTGGTGACAATAGCCCTTTAGAGAACATTTGTTATGGGACTATTATTCATAAAGCTTAAACTTGAAACTTTTATCTCTAAAACATTTTGCAGCTTTTTGTGTTGAAAAATAATAATTTATTGACCCCAAATTGTTGTAGGTCTTAAAATTCCATTTTAGTTTCTTTTTTCCAAATCATGATTGTAAATTTTATTTCACTCCATGGGCTTTTTTCTTTTCATTTATAATCATATTCTTTGAGATTGGTCTTTCGATCATTTTTTTCCAAAATTCTTAATATATTAATTAAGAATTTTTCATTATATCAACCTTCTATTTTCTTAGTATATTCATTGATAATTCTTCATTTATTAACATGCTATTTTTCCTTCAGATCCCTGAAGTCTGGGGCAGTGTGAGAGTCCAGGCCCAGGGGACAGGGTTTGCTCTCGTCCAACTGGACACACAGGTCAACGTTGAGCAGGACTTCCTCCTCAGGAAGCCACCAGTAAATTCCTTTGACCTTTGGATTAAGAATCTGACCCTGACTGGACGTAACTTCTCAATGATGGTCATGGAGGCTTGTGCCAAGTAAGAACCATGAAACTTGGTGATAATACATCCTGTTTTTTCAGTTATACTGTGAAGGGGGTGTTGGTGGGAAGATCACTATTAATATTAGAATTTTAGATTTTGAATTGAATAGTCCAGTCTTACTACTTTTTATAATACAGATAATGTTATAATTTGTACAAAATGTTAAGTATACACCAAATTAAAAAAACAGGATTTAAAATTTTTAGCAATTTGGTCTCCATGAATAAAACTATGTACACTGTCTGCAGCAGGCAGAAACCAGGTGATCCATTTACAATTGACAACATTTTTAAAAACTGTCATTCTTTTCCAGATGGAAACGCTTGGACATTGGTCCATCCAGTGGTCTGGCAGTAATGGAAATTTCACTGCCCTCTGGCTACTTTGCCATGAATGACTATATGTTTGCCTACGGAGAGTCCGGCAGTGTTGACAACTTGAGGAGGGCCATGTACAATGACAAGAGAGTGTACTTCTACTTTGATTATGTAAGTATGGGATTGGGGTTGTCTTGATTAATGCTGTACTAGGCTGGCTGTAGTTTGAAGGTGTGTCGTTTGGTTTTGAAGTCATTTTATATCAGTTTTGCATCAGTCTTTATGTAATGTGCCTAATCAGAAATTTCCTTTGCATTGAATTTGTCGTTTATTGTAAATTTTAAGTTTCAACACAACCATAATGGTTTATGCATTAGAAGCTGAAGCAGGGGAAAAGTTCCTGGCCTTGCAGTGAAAGATGTTGCTTGGTTGCTAGTTTTCAGCATATCAATTGGCAGCTGGGCTGTATCCACCCCAGGGAGATGAGAGCATCAACACCCAGGCAGTGTCAGGGCCAAAAATGACCAGGCATCTAATGTAAACTGCACAGAGACACATGTGGAGTGTGGTATTTAAAAATTGAACTTTACTTTTGTTTAATTTTGTATTGTTTAACTTCAGATTAATAGCACAGTGGATACTTGTATCAGGTTTGAGGCGCGGCGCTGGTGGCCAGTAGCCAATGTTACTATTAACCATATGATGAGGGTGTATGACTACTATAGGCCAGGTAAAAATACTGATCCTTTTGCTATTAAAATTTTGGCTCCGTAATTTTGTTTGCAATTTTGATATCTCATCCATCCATTATTATATATGAGATCAAGTGACAAAAGCAAAAATACATTAGGTTGATTGGTGATTGATATTTCGTCCCTTTGGTCTGCATTTACTAAATGAGTTCGAGATGATTTGGCACCTTTGGCTATATAATATGTAGGCTATCAACTATATATAATATCACAGTGTAAGGGCATTTAACTGTATGTGCCAGTTCAGGAATAAATTGAATTTTAAAAATTAAAAATTGAATATATCCCTACTATGACACTTTTTTTCAATCTCATTATAACCATTTCCTTCCTATTCCAGACGAGGTGGTCAACAAGACCATGTACTCCACCTACCCGCTATTCCAGCTCCATATCTGCCAGGTGTGTGGGTCATTCCAGTGTCCATACTGTCCATTCTTTAATACGGCCACTGCCCTGGTCAAGACCAGCATGACCCTACTCCTGGGCTGTATATCCACATACATTATCACATCCAAGTTCTTCCTATTGAGGTCCTGATCGCAGTGAGAGGACTGTTCTTTTGTATATAATTTTTTTTTTGGCGTTGTTGAGTTTTTAGTACAGGATTGGAAAATTTTATACTGTGTGTTGCAAGCGAGCGAGCACACTTGTACAAAGAATGGAACATAGATGAATAGCTTTGTAGCAGCTGAACTTTTCAGGGAGACAGGGACTTGTGATTCTACCAATGAAAATTTACGGAGTCAATCCAAACAAAATGTAATTTTTTTTACTTATGAATATATTTTCATATATTGTTTGGACTAAATGTTAATTATACTTATTAGCCCTGACCAAGATTAGACAATGTGTAATATTTTATGAAGCATTTTGTAAACTTCACTGGGACCAGTGTATGTGATATCCAGAGATGAAATTATATATAGCTGTCCATGCATTTTTTGAGGTCCTTTATATGCAAGGACCTATGTAGAAAGTGCAACTGCCATAACTTCATTTGTTCTACAACATTCCCATTGAACATGGTTGTGAGGACTGACAGACAAAAAAAGTGGAATCTTGACAATATTTACCTGTACAGGGAATTAAAATGATGGTTTATCATAGTAGGTGCTTCTGTAGTTCATAAAACTGATGACTAAGGTGGATTAATTAGTATGCCTGTAGTTTGAATTGAAATTACAATTTAGGAAAGTTTAACCTGATTATTGTGGCCATTTTGATGTTTGAAATAGTTAGGGATATGTGTCCCATGTTGAGAAATGAGTAATTAATAATTTTTTTTTGTTTGTACATATTGTGATTAAAATATAAGTCCAAGGAATCACAGAGGTACTTGTAAAAGGAATATTAAATGTTTAATCTTAGTATATACATCTACTGAATTAAAATTCTAGAAGATAGAAAATAAAGATTGGGCACAATTCTTCTGCATTGAAATGTGCAGAGATCAGTGGGAACAAGAACACAATTAAATCTGTAGATTTTTTTTAATCCGATCCTTATTGAAATATGTAAATATTTTTTCCATATTTTCTGCATCAAATGCAGCATTTACTAGCACCAGATGTGAAAAAATGTCCTTTGAGTGGATTTGTACAAATGAGTGTAAAGCTTTTGTCTGCATATGATATCAAAGAGGATTTTGAATTGTTTTGAATTGATTTTTAGAGTACTGCTTAGGAAAATGACTTTACATGGATAATCAGTGAGTCAAGTTGCCTTTAAAGAGGCTTGTGTAGAAGAAGCATTATTCTCATTAGATCTTACATTCGGAGCACCCTTTTTTCCTAATACAGTGCAGACATTTTACCTGAGTCTTTTCAACTTGGTCTTTTATGAAATTATATGAAATCTGTATTTTTTACAAATTAATGATGTTTCTTAAAGAGTGTGTGCTAATGGCACTGTCACATATTGTATTATATATATACACATATATACAACTTAACTCAGTAGATATTTTCTACAAACTTTGTAGTTTTTATACTTTTACGCTTTAACGGGAACATTAAAAATTGTTATTATAGTGATTCAAAGTTTTGTATAGTTATCACATGTAGCCTATATCTCTATCGTAGATTTTAAATCTTGTAAAGCAATAAGTGACATTTACACAATTTTCCAAACTGCGTGGTATAAGAAAGACATATTATAAATGAGATTCCTCAGTTGAACCCTTGCTATAGAATTTTGAATCCAAGGTCAATCGCGCATTTAAACTCGACGTCGAAAGAATTGTGGAACCAAAATTTGCATCATATGAAAAAATTGGGACTTTTTAAAAAATATTCTGCATACACAAAACGTTTCGCTTCTGTTCTGTTGACAGTCTGTTAAGAACGGAGCAGGCAATGATTAGGTTGTGATAATGTTATACTACAATATATAAAGATAACATTCCAAGAAGCAATCTCATCTCCGTTAACAAGGACAAGATGGCTGCGTAAGCTCAGTTGGAACTGCTAGGTATTCTGTAGTATAGAGGAACATATTGTACATACTAGTGTATGCTTCTTTAGAACGGATAATAAAATTATAACATTGAAGAATTTACTTTTGATTTCCTTGTGTTCGTATTTTAATGTCGACGCCATCTTACTATGGACGAACAGTTACATACTTTGATAATAACTAGTAATAGAACAAACAATAGTTTTCTTTCACTGCTACTTCACCTAATACTGCTACACCTGAGAAATATTTAGAACCTCCGACACGACTTTGCAGTAAAAGTGGCCGAGAACGAATGTCATACATCACAGAACTTTAATGCTAGACTTACGCAGTCGATGCTATTTGCTGTAAACTGTCTAAAAAAATAAGGTCACATCTATAAACCAACTACAGTGAATTCGGAAGTGGGCTTTCACCTCCAAAATCACTTATCTGAAACTGGTCAGATGTGTGCTGTATTTATTGCTTGTTATGATGCAATCGCATGTAAATGAGATTTATGATGTCTGGGAAAAATATCCTACAGCATACACACGCTTAGCCTGCTTGGCAGCATATAGAACGCCCTCTTCCTACATAATCCCGCCCCTTTCCTGTATGGTTCTTAAATGCAATCATTATGAAGTCATTCAATGGCACGAAACTAAATATCTAGCAGATATGTAACCAACCTCTGCAGTCTGTGAGCTTAATATGACATGTCCTTGTTCACGCTCCCTTTCCATTCTGTTTCACCAGTTCTAAGCTGTATGGTTTGCTAACGGCATAAGAAGGTTCGTCCACAAACAATTGCCGGAGGGTCTTCGTTCCAAGTATCAGCGTCTCCTTAATGCCGGGAATAACGGATTTCTCCCTGCGAACAAAAGGTACGTTGTTTTTTAGTTCTTCGCATGGTATTTCCCATACTCTTTCCCAATGAAGTACGTCTCTCTTATGGTCTACCAGTTGTTTCTGACACTTACCACTGTCGTAGGTGTTTCTGAGGAACGCCAAAGAGTCACGAGGGTCATTTAGATACAGATCCCCGAAAGGTCGTCTGTGAAATGGGAACACTTGTGATTTTCTAAAAATGAGCTTTCGAAACTGACTGTCCCAAATATGCGTTTGGTTTTCCTCGTAACTGAAGACATCTACCACGGGCCATTTCCAAACGCTCACCGTGTCATTCGACCAATTCGAAAAGAATTTCAAGACCGTCGATCCAGGACTTTTCGAATGAAATAATCTGGGGCAAGATTTGATAGTAATTCAAACAGTTTGCCCTTGTCATTTTGGCTGATTATGACGTCGGCATCATCATCCCAAGGTATGAAATCGTGATGTCTATACGAACCAAGTAGTGTCCCACCATACATGGTATACGGCAGGTTGTTTTGTGCACAAATTCGGTCTATTGTAGCCAACAGGTCCACGAGAACATCTCTTTGAGCTTGCGTTAATCGGGGTCTAAAATGAGCCAGAAAATCATTTGGATCGCCATCGGATGGCTTGTACATGTATGGATGGGATGTCGTTGTTAAACTGGGTACATAATCACGCTCTTTGTGGTGCATGCCTCGTGTTGGCCTGTGAGTGAAACTCCAAGTATTGGAGCGTTTATATTCTACATTGTCTCTGGACGTACGCTCATGAGATACGTCTGTGGCAATTGTGCACAGTCGTTTGTCACTTTGGCTTCTCGTTAGTAGTAGAATTTGGAGTACGAAAATAAGACTGCTACATATCAGACCAAATATGGCAAAGCTTCTATAATTGCCGGTGTTCCAAAAGTCCATTTCGAAGTATGATGTTTGAAGGTAAAAGGGAAGGTTGGGTATAGCCAGGTGTCCTCGTCAGAGGAATTCAGTCAGAGTTTCCGTTTTCACTTGGTCTTTTATCTGTTTAGTCCTGAAGCTTTCTCGTCTTTCTGGGAAACATACGACCTATGCTTTCACTTGTGTCACAAGCGGAATAACAGGGGGCCTCCTGGGCTTCAGACTTCACTTGTGATAGGTTCATTATAACTACTTGTTCCTTTTTCCAAATTGGCATACTGTATATAGCCTACCTTGTAACACAACATGATAAACGCGACATCATTTGGAGTAATGATATACAGTGCATGTGATGCTCGTTATTATCATTCACAATAACCAACAGGTTCATGCCATTGTTATTAAATGCCATTTTTATTATTATCTACAATTGCCAACGGATTCAAACCATTAATATTTTCTGCCATTTTTAATATGGTCGACGAAAATATCGGAGATAGAGAACTCCCGTGCATCCTTCCGCACCGGTAATCAGCATTCTACTACTAGAGCTACATGAAAATAATTAGACAATTTACGTACTATCAAAAACCCATTACACCAAAAAGAGTAAAATTGTGATGAATCAGTTCAAATATTAGAGCAGTAAGGTACTAGTCGGAATAACCAATTACGACAACAAAATGGCCATCCTAGCACTTATGTTTTAAACCGGCTTTATGTTATTGTAAGGTATATGCAGGCCAAACAACAATATCTAGTGAAATTGCAGTGGACGATTGGTCTAATCTTCGTGACCAGAGAAGTCGATAAGGAGAATGTGATGACTTTTGTGACGCACAGCTCATAGAAATAAGAAGGATCACTTGTTCAGAAGCACTTATTTTAATGGTCACTTTTATGATGAATTTCTAAAATTACCATATTTGACACACACACTCACACACACACACACACACACACACACAGATATAGGCTTGTCAAAGATAAGCATTGACCTGACATTTTATTTTAAAAGTGGTCTGCATTTCAATGTAAAATAGTCGTATCTTCGTGCAAAATGTCCCTTTGTAAGGATAACCACTAGTAATACTTATTTATTATCATTTCGGTGTGGCACTAAAAACATTTAGTACACAATACACCAAAAAAAGCACGCAAGCGTACACAGAGCTTATCACAAAATGCTGCTGATAACTTTATTATTCATGTGCATATACATAATGCGAATACGCTTTATGAACGAAATCTACCGCTATAACTACTTCCACATATCCAATTAAATCTGATGTGTATTTTAAGGCTTATATTTTTGTTTTAATGGTGACATAGAGGTTCCATACAAAATTGAAAGGGTGGCGATCGTTTGTAACCCTCACCCTTTGGGCTATAGGTTTTGGTAGGTGTGCCCATGGCTTGCTCTAACACAGGATCTTAACATTGGTAAATCAGCCTCGATAAAACAAATCAGGTTAGGATACCTACTCCGTGCACCCAGTAGAGTTTTGATAGCGATCACATACATATCCGCTACATGACTTTGACAGTTACCCAACCATGACCCGCAACTGTACATCAATGCCTGTATCAATGCTACTTCATAAAACCTTTCGTTTAACCCAAAAAGGAAACCCCACATTTTTGTTCACGAAAAAAAAATTCCCACAAGACATGGTTGTTAAGCACTGATTACAAACGGCCATCTTGCGTGAATGTAGCTTCACGGTAAACGTAAGATTTACAATTCGTAACCTCAATATCATCAATTTTCCTGTGTACATGGGAAAACTTACATTAGTAAGGCATGCATCATTAGCGCTGACTTTAAGACTGTTCTGATGATCAAAATTCCAGACAACTTAGAATTTTCATAAACGTATTAAATGTATAAATAAACTGTCTACATTATTTGATAGTTCTTCCTATTGCAATGACTACAAGAATTTCTGTTAGAAAAAAACACGGTTTATTGAATATTTACTTACAAGTATTACTTTCTCACACAGTTGACTTCAGAGTTTTATTTTTTTTTCTTACAGACAATTTGCGAGGCGTATTTGGATTTTAAATATTATTTAATGGGAAAAATAAAATGTTAAATTCAAGGAATTCTGCTTACGCCGAATCTTTGATTTCCCGTAGGTTTTCACCTCGCGTGGTATTTTGCGTGCGAGCAATACCTGGCTTTCGTCGATAACAACTGAATAGTTTTTACAAAGGTCAGAGAAGAATTTCATCAGCTGTGGTATGTTATAAGAATGATGTAATTTTTCTTCACAAAACAGCTAATACTGAGATAGATGTTCTGCTAGACAACGAAATATTGGAAGTAAAAACATTAGTTGTTGACTGAAGAAAAATTCCATCATTCTTGTTTACAAAGGGTTTTTATTAGGAGAAAAAAATCAAAATCGTTCTAAAATATTTGTTGACAGATATTCAACCATTATCCCTTGTTGTAGTTTTGAACGGCTGTAAATAATACTTTGTGTTGCGTATTGAAAGATTGGATCCGGTTCCATCCATTTGTTTGCCAACAATGGTAGACAGAGCCTGTGTTACAGCAGTGAACAATGGCAAAGAGTGTCATGTATCTGTGTCTTTTTTCCTGAGCAAGATTTTGTTACATAACCACCTCCACAAGTTCTTAAAGACATAACAATAGCATGCATACTGTGGTGAAAAATAATATGTAACACGTCTTGTATTACGAACAAGTCTGTTTCTTTTCTTCGTTTTCTAGATTGTGATTGCAAGCAAACACTTTGACACAGGAGTTTACTGATCGATTATCTAATTTAATTGCAAGACCCACATTGTATTTGTCCTGTATAGCTCCTACAGCGATCCGAGTACACAGGTGCTAATACACAAAAACTATTAATTATCTCTCTCCCCCTGCTATATAAATTACCCTCTGTGCACTGTGAGACAATACATTTGGTGTGCATAGCTCTGCTCATTAATCACTGCTTGAATGTAACGAAGAGAAACACTGGCAGAGCGAACGAAAGCATGTTATTCATAAATATTATCTTCATGGATAATTACCGGTGCAATAAATTACGATGGAAGCTGAGAACTGCAAAGATGCTGCCGNGTTTTTTTCAGTTATACTGTGAAGGCGGTGTTGGTGGGAAGATCACTATATTAGAATTTTAAATTTTGAATTAAATAGTTCAGTCTTACTACTTTTTCTAACACAGGTAATGTTATGATTTGTACAAAATGTTAAGTATACACCAAATTAAAAAAACAGGATTTAGAATTTTCATCAATTTGGTCACCATGTATAAAACTACATTGTCTTGCAGCAGACAGTATAACCAGGTTATCCATTTACAATTGACTACATTTTCAAAAATTGTCATTCCTTTCCAGATGGAAACGCTTGGACATTGGTCCATCTAGTGGTCTGGCAGTAATGGAGATTTCACTGCCCTCTGGCTACTTTGCCATGAATGACTATATGTTTGCCTACGGAGAGTCTGGCAGCGTTGACAACTTGAGGAGGGCCATGTACAATGACAAGAGAGTGTACTTCTACTTTGATTATGTAAGTATGGGATTGGTGTTGTCTTGATTAATGCTGTACTAGGTTGGTTATGGTTTGCAGGGGTGTCGTTTGGTTTTGAAGTATCATTTTGTATCGGTTTTGCATCATGCATCAGGCTCTATGTGAATTGCCTAATCAGAAATTTCCTTTGCACTGAATTTGTCATTTATAATGAGTTATGTACAACTTTTATTTAGCCTCTCTGATAAAAATGCATTGTATTTATTGGCTTCAATATGATGCTTAACATCATGTCATATTGATATAATTTGTGAAATGTAAAATTTTAATAATGTCTGGCATCCTTTATTTAAAATTTGAAGAAAAACGGGACTCTAACTACAACTGATGAATAGGTATACTGAACATTCATTATCCCACAAATATGGTCTGACAGAGATCCCCAAAAATAAAACATTGTTGGTCAGAGCGTCCATCTCTGAAGTGGGATGATGTGGGTTTGACCCCATCTAGGGACAGACCAGTGCTTCATAAACAGTACCATGCAGCTGTCTCCCCACTTGGCACTCAGCACTTGGAGCTTGAAGCAGGGGAAAAGCTCCTGGTCTGGCATTGAAAAATATTGCTTGGTTACTAATTTTCAGCACTTTATATGACAGCTAGGCTGTATTCTTCTCAAGGAGATTAGAGCGTTAACACCCACTTTTTATCAGGGTCAAAAATGACCAGGCGTCTAATGTAAATGGCACAGAGACACGTGTGGAGTGCGGTATACAAGAACTGAACTTTACTTTTGTTTAATTTTGAAATGTTTAACTTCAGATTAACAGCACAGTGGATACTTGTATCAGGTTTGAGGCGCGGCGCTGGTGGCCAGTAGCCAATGTTACTATTAACCATATGATGAGGGTGTATGACTACTATAGGCCAGGTAAAAATACTGATCCTTTTGCTATTTTAAAAAATTTTGGCTCCGTAATTTTGTTTGCAATTTTGATATCTCATCCATCCATTATTATATATGAGATCAAGTGACAAAAGCAAAAATACATTAGGTTGATTGATGATTGATATTTCGTCCCTTTGGTCTGCTTTTACTAAATGAGTTCGAGATGATTTGGCACCTTTGGCTATATAATATGTAGGCTATCAACTATATATAATATCACAGTGTAAGGGCATTTAACTGTATGTGCCAGTTCAGGAATAAATTGAATTTTAAAAATTAAAAATTGAATATATCCCTACTATGACACTTTTTTTCAATCTCATTATAACCATTTCCTTCCTATTCCAGACGAGGTGGTCAACAAGACCATGTACTCCACCTACCCGCTATTCCAGCTCCACATCTGCCAGGTGTGTGGGTCATTCCAGTGTCCATACTGTCCATTCTTTAATACGGCCACTGCCCTGGTCAAGACCAGCATGACCCTACTCCTGGGCTGTATATCCACATATATTATCACATCCAAGTTCTTCCTATTGAGGTCCTGATCGCAGTGAGAGGACTGTTCTTTTGTATATAATTTTTTTTTTTTTGGCGTTGTTGAGTTTTTAGTACAGGCTTGGAAATTTTTATACTGTGTGTTGCAAGCGAGCGAGCACACTTGTACAAAGAATGGAACATAGATGAATAGCTTTGTAGCAGCTGAACTTTTCAGGGAGACAGGGACTTGTGATTCTACCAATGAAAATGAAAATTTTAATCCAAACAAAATATGTAATTTTTTTTGACTTATGAATATATTTTCATATATTGTTTGGACTAAATGTTAATTATACTTATTAGCCCTGACCAAGATTAGACAATGTGTAATATTTTATGAAGCATTTTGTAAACTTCACTGAGACCAGTGTATGTGATATCCAGAGATGAAATTATATATAGCTGTCCATGCATTTTTTGAGGTCCTTTGTATGCAGGGACCAATATGTAGAAAGTACAACTGCCATAACTTCATTTGTTCTACAACATTCCCATTGAACATGGTTGTGAGGACTGACAGACAAAAAAAGTGGAATCTTGATAAGATTTACCTGTACAGGGAATTAAAATGATGGTTTATCATAGTAGGTGCTTCTGTAGTTCAGATACATAAAATTGATGACAAAGGTGGATTAATTAGTGTGCCTATGTGAATTGAATTGAAATTACAATTTAGGAAAGTTTAACCTGATTATTGTGGCCATTTTGATGTTTGAAATAGTTAGGGATATGTGTCCCATGTTGAGAAATTAGTAATTAATAATTTTTTTTTGTTTGTACATATTGTGATTAAAATATAAGTCCAAGGAATCACAGAGGTACTTGTTAAAGGAAAATTAAAAGTTTAATCTTAGTATATACATCTACTGAATTAAAATTCTAGAAGATAGAAAATAAAGATTGGGCACAATTCTTCTGCATTGAAATGTGCAGAAATTAGTGGGAACAAGAACACAATTAAATCTGTAGATTTTTTTTTATCCGATCCTTATTGAAATATGTAAATATTTTTTCCATATTTTCTGCATCAAATGCAGCATTTACTAGCACCAGATGTGAAAAAATGTCCTTTGAGTGGATTTGTACAAATGAGTGTACAGCTTTTGTCTGCATATGATATCAAAGAGGATTTTGAATTGTTTTGAATTGATTTTTAGAGTACCGCTTAGGAAAATGACTTTTTCTCATGGATAATCAGTAAGTCAAGTTGCCTTTAAAGAGGCTTGTGTAGGAGAAGCATTATTCTTATTAGATCTTACATTTGGAGCACCCTTTTTTCGTAATACAGTGCAGACATTTTACCTGAATCTTTTCAACTTGGTCTTTTATAAAATTATATGAAATCTGTGTTTTTACAAATTAATGATGTTTCTTAAAGAGTGTGTGCTAATGACACTGTCACATATTGTATTATATATATAAATATACATATATATACAACTTAACTCAGTAGATATTTTCTACAAACTTTGTAGTTTTTATACTTTTACGCTTTAACGGGAACATTAGAAACTGTTATTATAGTGATTCAAAGTTTTATATAGTTATCACATGTAGCCTATATCTCTGTCGTAGATTTTAAATCTTGTAAAGCAATAAGTGACATTTACACAATTTTCCAAACTGCGTGGTATAGGAGAGCCATATTATAAATGAGATTCCTCAGTTGAACCCTTGCTATAGTATTTTGTATCCAAGGCCAATCGCGCATTTAAACTCGACGTCGCAAGAATTGTGGAACCAAAATTTGCATCATATGAAAAAATTGGGACTTTAAAAAAAATATTCTGCATACACAAAACGCTTTGCTTCTGTTCTGTTGACAGTCTGTTAAGAACGGAGCAGGCAATGATTAGGTTGTGATAATGTTACACTACAATATATAAAGATAACATTCCAAGAAGCAATCTCATCTCCGTAAACAAGGACAAGATGACTGCGTAAGCTCAGTTGGAACTGCTAGGTATTCTGTAGTATAGAGGAACATATTGTACATACTAGTGTATGCTTCTTTAGAACGGATAATAAAATTATAACATTGAAGAATTTACTTTTGATTTCCTTGTGTTCGTATTTTAATGTCGTCGCCATCTTACCAAGGACGATCAGTTACATGGTTTGATAATAACTATATATATATATAGTAACAAAGAATATATTTCTGTTACTGCTATTTCACATATTACTGCCACAACCGAGAGAAATATTCGGAACTAAAGTTCGGTGCGTGATCACAGGTGATGCAGCATTTGCCGAGATTCAGATTCCAGCAGACAATTTTTATCAAAAAAGCAAAAATCTAGCGCTAAATGGCCGCAGGCTAACAATAAATGTATCGGACTCTTACAGTTCATGATCTCTCTCTCTCTCTCTTTCAGAGAAAAGAAATGTTTTTTTTTCTAATTAGTTAAGACGGTGTGTCAAGAATGGTAGTGCTAGGAAAGGAAGGCCGCTGATACAGGAATGGTAGTCAGCTAGGAACCGTAGTCCGTTCCCCATTACCTTATACAGGTGACCTTCGTCTCACATACCAGCCCCAATACTACGACTATAACCCTAACTTGTACTAATCATACTGGACCCATTCCTGTCACATCGGGTCCGGTTAGACCANCAGTGAAAAGGTTAGTGTCAAGTTAGCTCTGAAGCTCAGGGTGGGTTAGACAGGATAGGGTTCCTAATGTAATGGAAAACGGACCATGGTTCCTTACGGATTTTAAAACATTCGGATTAATGCTCCGACACAACTTTGCTGAAAAATTTGGCCGAGAACGAATGTCATACGTCACAGAAGGTTAATACAAGACATAAGCAGTCAATGCTATTTGCTGTAAACTGTCCAAAAACAAATAAGGTCACATCTGTAAACCAACCACAATGAATTCGGATGTGGGCTTTCGCCTCCCCAATCACTTGTTTGAAACTGGTGAGATGTGTGCTGTATTTATTGCTTGTTATGATGCAATCGCATGTAAATGAGAAAAATATCCTACGGCATACACACGCTTAGCCTGCATGGCAGCATATAGAACGCCCTCTTCCTACATAATCCCGCCCCTTTCCTGTATGGTTCTTAAATGCAATCATTATGAAGTCATTCAATGGCACGAAACTAAATGTCTAGCAGATATGTAACCAACCTCTGCAGTCTGTAGTCTTAATATGACATGTCCTCGTTCACGCTCCCTTTCCATTCTGTTTCACCAGTTCTAAGCTGTAAGGTTTGCTAACGGCATAAGAAGGCTCGACCACAAACAATTGCCGGAGCGTCTTCGTGCCAAGCCTCAGCGTCTCCTTAATGCCGGGAATAACGGATTTCTCCCTGTGAAGAAAAGGTACGTTGTTTTTTAGTTCTTCGCATGGTATTTCCCATACTCTTTCCCAATGAAGTACGTCTCTATTATGGTCTACCATTTGTTTCTGACACTTTCCACTGTCGTAAGTGTTTCTGAGGAACGCCAAAGAGTCACGAGGGGCATTTAGATACAGATCCCCAAAAGGTCGTCTGTGAAATGGGAACACTTGTGATTTTCTAAAAATGAGTTTTCGATACTGACTGTCCAAAATATGCGTTTGGTTTTCCTCGTAACTGAAGACATCTACCATGGGCCATTTCCAAACGCTCACCGTGTCGAAAAGAATTTCAAGACCGTTGATCCAGGACTTTTACAAATGAAATAATCTGGGGCAAGATTTGATAGTAATTCAAACAGTTTGCTCTTGTCATTTTGGCTGATTATGACGTCGGCGTCTTCATCCCAAGGCATGAAATCGTGGTGTCTATACGCACCAAGTAGTGTCCTACCATACATGGTATACGGCAGGTTGTTTTGTGCATAAATTCGGTCTATTGTAACCAACAGGTCCACGAGTTAATCGGGGTCTAAAATGAGCCAGAAAATCATTTGGATCGCCATCGGATGGCTTGTACATGTGTGGATGGGATGTCGTGGTTAAACTGGGCACAAAATCAAGCTCTTTGTGGTGCATGCCTCGCGTTGGCCTGTGAGTGAAACTCAAATTATTGGAGCGTTTATATTCTACGTTGTCTCTGGACGTACGCTCATGAGATACGTCTGTGGCAATTGTGCCACAGTTTCCGTTTTCACTTGGTCTTTTATCTGTTTAGTCCTGAAGCTTTCTCGTCTTTCTGGGACACATATGACCTATGCTTTCACACGTGTCACAAGCGGAATAACAGGGGGCCTCCTGGGCTTCAGGCTTCACTTGCTTACTACACGTTCCTTTTTCCAAATTGGCATACTGTATATAGCCTACCTTGTAACACAACATGATAAACGCGACATCATTTGGAGTAATGATATACAGTGCATGTGATGCTCGTTATTATCATTCACAATAACCAACAGGTTCATGCCATTGTTATTAAATGCTATTTTTATTATTATTATCTGCAATTGCCAACGGGTTCAAACCATTGATATTTTCTGCCATTTTTAATATGGTCGACGAAAATATCGGAGTTAGAGAACTCCCGTGCATCCTTCCGCACCGGTAATTACTAACCATTCTGTTAACAGAGCTACATGAAAATAATTAGACAATTTAGGTACTATCAAAAACCCATTACACCAAAAAAGTAAAATTGTGATGAATCAGTTCAAATATTAGACCAGTAAGGTACTAGTCGGAATAACCAATTACGACAACAAAATGGCCATCCTAGCACTTATGTTTTAAATCGGCTTTATGTTATTGTAAGGTATATGCAGGCCAAACAACAATATCTAGTGAAAATTGCAGTGGACAATTGATCTTATCTTCGTGACCAAAGAAGTCGATAAGGAGAATGTGATGACTTTTGTGACGCACAGCTCATAGAAATAAGAAGCACTTATTTTAATGGTCACTTTTATGATGAATTACTAAAATTACTATATTTGACACACACACACACACACACACACACACACACACACAGAGGCTTCCCCAAAGTTAAGCATTGACCTGACATTTTATTTTCAAAGTGGTCTGCAATTCAATGTAGAATAGTCGTATCTTCGTACAAAATGTCCCTTTGTAAGGATAACCACTAGTGATACTTATTTATTATCATTTCGGTGTGGCACTAAAAACATTTAGTACACAATACACCATAAAAAGCACGCAAGCGTACACAGAGCTTATCACAAAATGCTGCTGATAACTTTATTATTCATGTGCATGTACATAATGCGAATACGCTTTATGAACGAAATCTACCGCTATAACTACTTCCACATATCCTATTAAATCTGATGTGTATTTTAAGGCTTATATATTTGTTTTAATGGTGACATAGAGGTTCCATACAAAATTGAAAGGGTGGCGATCGTTTGTAACCCTCACCCTTTGGGCTATAGGTTTTGGTAGGTGTGCCCATGGCTTGCTCTAACACGGGATCTTAACATTGGTAAATCAGTCTCGATTAAACAAATCAGGTAAGGATACGTACTCCGTGCACCCAGTAGAGTTTTGATAGCGATCACATACATATCCTCTACATGACTTTGACAGTTACCCAACCATGACCCGCAACTGTACATCAATGCCTGTATAAATGCTGCTTCATAAAACCTTTCGTTTAACCCAAAAAGGAAACCCCATATTTTTGTTCACGAAAGAAACAAATTTCCACACAGGACATGGTTGTTTAGCACTGATTACAAACGGCCATCTTGCGTGAGTGTAGCTTCACGGTAAACGTAAGATTTACAATTCGTAACCTCAATATCATCAATTTTCCTGTGTACATGGGAAAACTTACATTAGTAAGGCATGCATCATTAGCGCTGACTTTAAGACTGTTCTGATGATCAAAATTCCAGACAACTTAGAATTTTCATAAACATGTATTAAATGTATAAATAAACTGTCTACATTATTTGATAGTTCTTCCTATTGCAATGACTACAAGAATTTCTGTTAGAAAAAACACGGTTTATTGAATATTTACTTACAAGTATTACTTTCTCACACAGTTGACTTCAGAGTTTTATTTTTTTTCTTACAGACAATTTGCGAGGCGTATTTGGATTTTAAATATTATTTAATGGGAAAAATAAAATGTTAAATTCAAGGAATTCTGGACACGCCGAATCTTTGATTTCCCGTAGGTTTTCACCTCGCGTGGTATTTTGCGTGCGAGCAATACCTGGCTTTCGTCGATAACAACTGAATAGTTTTTACAAAGGTCAGAGAAGAATTTCATCAGCTGTGGTATGTTATAAGAATGATGTAATTTTTCTTCACAAAACAGCTAATACTGAGATAGATGTTCTGCTAGACAACGAAATATTGGAAGTAAAAACATTAGTTGTTGACTGAAGAAAAATTCCATCATTCTTGTTTACAAAGGGTTTTTATTAGGAGAAAAAAAATCAAAATCGTTCTATAATATTTGTTGACAGATATTCAACCATTATCCCTTGTTGTAGTTTTGAACGGCTGTAAATAATACTTTGTGTTGCGTATTGAAAGATTGGATCCGGTTCCATCCATTTGTTTGCCAACAATGGTAGACAGAGCCTGTGTTACAGCAGTGAACAATGGCAAAGAGTGTCATGTATCTGTGTCTTTTTTCCTGAGCAAGATTTTGTTACATAACCACCTCCACAAGTTCTTAAAGACATAACAATAGCATGCATACTGTGGTGAAAAATAATATGTAACACGTCTTGTATTACGAACAAGTCTGTTTCTTTTCTTCGTTTTCTAGATTGTGATTGCAAGCAAACACTTTGACACAGGAGTTTACTGATCGATTATCTAATTTAATTGCAAGACCCACATTGTATTTGTCCTGTATAGCTCCTATAGCGATCCGAGTACACAGGTGCTAATACACAAAAACTATTAATTATCTCTCTCCCCCTGCTATATAATTTACCCTCTGTGCACTGTGAGACAATACATTTGGTGTGCATAGCTCTGCTCATTAATCACTGATTGAATGTAACGAAGAGAAACACTGGCAGCGCGAACGAAAGCATGTTATTCATAAATATTATCTTCATGGATAATTACCGGTGCAATAAATTACGATGGAAGCTGAGAACTGCAAAGATGCTGCCGTACAATATAATGGTATCATTACATATTGTTTACTGTAATCTTATGAAGCAATCCGAAGTTACACCGGCGTGATAGCAAAGTGCATAGTATTGAATAACATAGTCCGACAACCCCGACCTATTCTGTTACAAAAAGATCACTAAAACTGAAGTCTTTGACAGATCAAAATCTATCTCCTTTGAAGCAATGATTTTGAAGGCAATGCTCAGATGGTTTTGCCACTTTTTCCCCCAAGAACATAACATAGAGGCCTCTATTGTTATAAGAATATAATATTTTATATTTTATTGATATCATCCTGATTTCATCTGCTGTAAAAGAAAGACATACAATTTGTTGCTAATTTAAGTATTAACCAAAGAACTGCCCCACGCATAGAAAATGTGATGGCACCACACCTTTTGGGCACTGTCAATTTTTCAAAAATCTTTCCTTAATTTTCTTCAATTATTTAAGAATAATTTTATTGTTGTATCTTCTTCATTAATGAATTCGATTTTTGAACGCAACTCTTAAAATTGCATTTAGAACGCATTTTAATGACTTTTATGCAGCGTTATACTCAGAATTACAAGTTTGTTATTATAACTGTTACATCCAACTTTTTAAGATGCAAAGAAACATTATCAGTTTGTTGTTGTTGTTGTGAAGAATGAACAAATAGAACCATATCTTCAGATGTAATCCAAAGGTTTAAGTGCTGCGTTCTTTGTCGTGAAGGTTTAGCCTTGGAGCTCATTCCCAATGAAGCTCTCGTTCTAGGTAGAACAATCCCACTCTGCGGGGACTCTTGCTGAATGCTATCAGATTAACAGACTAACAGACCTTTTTCTTGGGTTGAGCAGAATACAGGGAAGCTGGTGATTATACATGTAGGAGTACGTTGAAAATAAGAAAAGGCGTTATTAATCTGTTAATCTGATTGCATTCAGCGAGAGTCACCTCGGAGTTGGATCAATAGTTTCATTAGGAGTGAGCCCTTACTACCCTATGTTATGTTTTGAGCCGAATGTAGCTTTGCTGTGGGCAACGACCCTGAGCAGCATAACCTCTTTATTTTTCCACAGTGGTGTACACGTAAAACCCCCAGTTTTATATAAAGCACGTAGAATAGATAAGTACACTACTTTTCATTGTTTGCAGTTTTGCCCCTTTCCATTCCCCTACACATACGATGGCAGTGCTTTTATTTCCTATGGGTATACCTTATAAGATAATTACTCAGTTCATCTCCGTTTTTTTCTGCAAAATGTTTAGGTTG